TTACTTCTTAAGTGTTCAACACAAAAGTAAGGAAATTTTCCATATTCACAAAAAGATTAAATGTTTAGTCACAGTCTTGTCCTTCCTATCTCACAACAGTCAAGATGTCCCTGTGCTGCTGGTTCATTCTGCTGGCTTTCATCCCTGAGGCCTTAAGCACCGATCCTGGAGTAATAGTCAAGCTAACAGATAAAGGCCTTGAATATGGTAACGTTTGCAGCAAAAGTTTCCCCTTTTATTTGAAAAGTTTAAATGTCTCCACAGTTTCATCACCAAATTATCCTGTATTTTGCTAGGCAGACAACTGGGTATGGCTGTGATCCAAAAGCAACTCCTTACCATCAAAGTGGCAGATATTTCAGGGTCAGAGTCGGTGTCTCCCATTGGCAGTGTCGAGTACAGATTATCAAAGTAAGGCAAAACTAAACACTACTACTACACCTAACCACTACCATTACAACTAAACACTGAAATCCAATGAAAATATTTAAGGTGTTTTTATTTATTGATTGATTTATTGAGTGTCTTTTTAAACAAGCATGTTGTTTCTTCCAGTATGCATATAGTTGATGTGGGATTACCAAAGTCTGAAGTGGATCTGGTGCCAGGGAGCGGCGTCAGACTGTTTATTGGTAACGCCTTCATCAGTCTGCATGGAGACTGGAAGGTCAAGTACCTCAAAATAATGTGAGTGTCCTTTGTACTGTGCATTTAAATCCATTTTGTTATATTTCTGCTGTAGCGGTAACTCCTCTGTCTTAACAGAAAGGACAGTGGTTCCTTTGATTTGAATGTGAACGGACTCACTATCAGTACAAGTATTGCCATCAAAAGTGATGAGACAGGCCGACCTGCAGTCAGTACTGTCGACTGTGTGGCCAGTATCAGCAGTGTAAGGGTCATATTCCATGGTGGAGCCAGGTAAAATAAACTTTGCTGTTTGTGTCATTTGAACCCACGTAAATGTGAGTTTCCAGTTTTTCTTGTCAAACTTCACATATTGCACACTCTCCTAATGGTCTCTGTTTGCTCCAGCTGGCTGTACAACCTCTTCACAAGCTTCATTGACAGGTCTTTGCGTAATGCAATACAAACACAGGTGAGAGGAAACCAGCTTTAGAACCAGTGTATTTAATGACCACCCATATTCACAAACTGTCTTATTTACTACTTATTTACTGGACCTGGTGAACTCCTACGCTAAGAGAAGGGGTGGGGCTGACTTTGTTGTTATAGATGACATCATCTTTCAAGAATAAACTGTCAAGACAAAACACTGACAATGACCTATTTTATATGGGTGTTGTGTGTTGAGTAACTTGAGCCATCAGATAAATTTAATGTAGTAAAAAGTAATTTGCCTTTGAAATGTAGTGGTGTAGAATTATAAAGTGACATTAAATAAAAGCTACTGTACTTGAGTGACATATTGTACTTAAGTAAATTTTCATTGTACCGGGCTGAGGTGGTTGACTCCTTTCCATACCGTAGGTAGGTTTGGTTGGATTAGAGATCGACAAAGAGAGCTAGAGCGGTAGTTAGGTACATAAGTAGCTTTTTTGTGAAGCAACCTATGCAAACATCAAACGAGGTGAGAGAGATTGGTGAGCTGAAGGAAGCTGCAGTCTTTTTGATATGAAAGACAAAATCTGTATCAGTCTCCAGTTACTCTTCCACCTAAATTCAATAACATAAAAGTTCGATATCACCAAATCAATTATGGAAGTTGGGGATAAAATATTCATTTAGAAAAACGTTATTCCACCCTGATAACTGTTTGATTTAAAAAATAAATAAAAGCTCCGTATCCATTTCTGGGAGACTCTACTAATAGTTTTCTCCAGTCATAAATTACTGCATGACATGTTTCTTTTGGAGTCAGGAAATAGTGTTTCTCTGTTCTTTATTGTTGCAGGTCTGCCCCTCGGTGGCTAATGCAGTATCACAGTTGAACTCTCAACTGAAAACTCTCAATGGTAAAACATTCTGTTTACACCAGTCATTTAGCTGTTTCACTGGTGCTGAACATATTGTATGAGTGACTGTCTACCTTACTGCAGTTGTAGCCCAGGTGGACCAGTATGCAGAGATTGACTATTCAATGGTGTCATCGCCCATGGTTTCACAGTCTTCTATAGACTTGAGCTTGAAGGTGAAGAACTGGATCAGACAATGTATATATTTTAGAGAGTGGTCCATGTGGTTGCAAAGAAACAGGTTGTCACATTTTTTCTGCCTCTGTTGCCCCCTTTTAGGGTGAATTTTACAACGTTGGGAAGCATCAGGAGCCTCCATTCTCCCCCACACCCTTTTCTCTCTCATCCCAGCTCAGCAACATGCTGTACTTCGGTATGTCTGCCTTCACCGCCAACTCTGCAGCTTTTGTCTACAACAGCGCTGGAGCCCTCAGTTTGTACATAACTGATGATATGGTGAGCTTCGTCCTCCCGATTCCTTAATGCGTCTGCTTTCATGACATCACACTGATCCACAATCTTTCTCACCCGCGATAGATTCCCCACACGTCACTCTTCAGACTCAACACCATGACATTCGGAGCTTTCATCCCACAGGTCTAAACACATTCCACTGATTATACATGAAGCATAACCTTCCTTGGCAATTTATCAGCTATATCATGGGGTATTTTCAGGTTGCCAAGCTCTTCCCAGGTCTGCTGATGAAACTGCTGGTGCAGACAGTGAAAACTCCTGTCATCACTTTTGAACCCAACAACGCAACTATTCAGGCCACTGGCACGGTGACAGCCTACGCTATCCTGCCCAACACTACACTCTCCCCTCTCTTTGTCCTAAACTTGGTAGGTTAAACAACTAGTACAATGAAAAGTCACTATGTGGTTTATAAAGTTATTAAAACTTTCCCACTATTGTCTTTATAGGAGACCAGTGTCAGCACCAAAGTGTTTGTCAGGGAAATGAGGTTGGCTGGAGCTGTCACACTCAACAAGTGAGTTGCTAAAAACCTGGACTTGTTATCCAAAGAGAAAAATGGGGCCAAAAGGTCTTTGTAATGAACGTGATGGTTTAATTTTGTCTCATTTGCACAGAATGGATTTGACCCTGAGGACAAGTTATGTGAGGGAATTTCAGGTGAGAGCTGCATCCTAACACATGTCACAGTGTGTACCATCAGCACCAACCTAACAAACCAACACTAACCCTAACCTACAGGTCAAATCCCTCGACAACTTCCTCCAAGTGGTCCTCAAAGGAGTAGTCATACCCAAAGTAAATGGTGAGTTTTTGTACTTTACGT